TCGTTGCCTGTGTATTGCATTTCCAATTCCTTTAAAAAGATCAGCAACAATCAATAAAACTAAAAAAAATTCGGACAGAAAGAAATAAAGAAATGGTCAAATTGTACCCTTTATTTTTAACTCGAAGATTGCGAAGCATCGAAGAGTTATTTTAGGGGAACGAATGTGTCGCTCACTAAGTCAGTTACTCAGTCATTAACTTACTTTCCTGTAAACTTGAGCCTGCGATGCTTTTGTTCATAATCATTTATGGGTCATCTGGGACTTGAACCTGAGCTCATGTAAAGAAACACGATCAGACCGGTGAAATTTCGCTTCTTCGCGGTTTTTCACCATGAGATACAAGGGCAAAGGAGACTACAAAAGGAAAAAAAAAATGTGAAAAAGGACGCTCTTAACAATATTGTATTTATTGGGATTTCCTACAGTGGAATCAAGAATAGTTTCCCTTTACAAATTCATCTTAGAAAACGTTACAGGTAAAACCGATCAAAAGTTATTCTCAAATAGTTTTTTTGATCCGTACAATTCTTTGTAAAATTCAACAAACATGTTTTTGTGCTTTATGCGAGAGGTACCGCTGTGACTGCGGGCTCATATGTCCGGATTTTCTGGTCATGTGTTGTAAGCATTAATTTTCTCTGATTTTAATGCCTTGAAAACTATTATTATAGGGCTACATGTATTACATCGATGATGGGCGATACGGATCTTTCTCAGATATTCCTGATACAGATTTTAGGGTGGCACCAATCGAGAAACTGACCTCCAAACTTACTTACCCATCCTGCATCTGCGGTCACTTTCTTGCTGGCCTTGACATTGTGAAGGAGGATTGTCAATTACCCAAGGTTAAATTTCCTTATTCCAGTTCAAAGCGAGCAACCGCTGTTTAAATTAACAACATTCTCTCTTGCGCAGTGATCTTACCAAAAAAAAAAAACAATGAAAGCACGAAAAAATACTGATATTACAATAACCCTCTACATTTACATTTTCTCCGAATCGAAGCTAAGCCTGTATTCCTAGAAGGTAGGTTTATGTGGGAATGTAGATTTAATCTCAAGAGAATATTCAAATTTCTAGAGCTAATTAATGTCAGCATTTATTCGTGCTTTCCTTTGTTTTTGCTAAGACTGCGGCGCTTGATCGCTCTGAATGAAAAAAAAGGAACATTTACAATTGATATTTTCAAATGCATTTTTTTCAGTTAAACAACCTAGAACTATCAGAATTCAAATAAGAAAAGACATCATTTTAGCTGTATATTTTTCAGCTATCGATTGGTGACTGGCTGTATTTTGACTGTTTTGGAGCATATACGAGCACTATGCTGTGTAATTTTAATGGCTTTGGGAACGTTAAATGCACTTATTACTACGCTACATCTAAAGTATGGTACGTACTATATGGTGCATACTCTTGTTCACTCCAACAGGGGCCCTGTTGATAAGTCTTTTTGTGATAGGATGCAATATGCGAACGTGGTGCTGTCAAAGGAAAAAGTCTAGTATAAGCTTGTGACGTGCTAACAAGGGGAAATTCCTTCTAACACCCCGTCCCGACGGGAGTTGGGTATCAAGACTCAAAGATAAAACTTTGCTCTTTCCAAAAATATTTTCTGAACGGAAACATTTTCTCTGAAATAAAACAATAGATCGGTGAATTTATGCGTTTGCCAATTTTTATTAATTGATAATTAACTTTAGAAAAGCTTTGCTAAGGCAAGGAATTGATGGTACGGAATATTTGCAACTGCACTTCAGAGGAGAAAAAAAATCATTTTTCTTATAAAAACTAATGACGACTCATCCCCGCTAGTATCCACTCAAAATAAAATGAAAAATCAAAAAGAAATTCAAAGAGATGCCAATCTAGCCGATGTTTAACCATTTTTTTAATGCATTCTGTTTTAGGACAAGTATACAGTTGAATGCAAGCCAGGATTTTAATGCTTCTATTACATTTCTTGAATGATTGAAAGTTAAATTAAATAAAAGTACTTGCTAGTAGTAATGTCAGCACCAACAACACCTGGTGAGGGTTTGAGGAGAATTGAGGACCGCTTGGTTTGAGTAAAATAATTTTATTAATACATTCAGTGACGTCACCTATGCTAATATATTCATTTTTGTGAGCCTTTCACTTAATCTCCGAACAATAGTCCTTTTGTTCTCTATTGTTTCGTCTAAGCGATTATTTATTGAGTGAATCTGGGCTGTTATAGTCAGTCTTCGCTCTGACTTGAAAGTAATATTGAGAATTTGTTACAAAATCGCTGATTCATCAAATCCGGAGATTGTAATATGGACGAGCTAAACCGTATTTTAAAGCAATCCCCTAAAACCCATCAAGAAAGCATTTCAGCAGAAATATTGAGTTTGCTAAGCAGCTTTCATGCTTTGTGTATTGAAAGCAATATTTCTTTAGTTAAAAAACAAGAAACAAAAGAATCTATGTGGAATTACTCATCAC